ACCATGGTTATATGGTCAGAAATACGATTTATTTCCATTGAGACCGACGCTATTACTGATATATTACTCTACATCGGGTCAAGAATGTTCCCACTTAGATGAGTTGGTAATCCATCTCTTACTGTTGGAATACTCGAGTGGTATTTATATCACAAGCATTGTGTAGCAGTAATAACAATTGGTGGTTAACATATATCTTGATTCTTTCCTTCCTAACTAAAGCAAACACGTATATACAGTAGTTGCCCCTCTCTCCTGACGCCATTCCTAAACAGGTAACTCATTCCTCATCAGCATACAGTATCTTAAGGGTGGCAAAAGTAAAATTGTCGAAATGGTTGGGGTTAGATCCCTGTGTATATCGATTAGATTGGTTTAACCTTCATGCAGGCCCATGTCTAGCTACTAGACTAGTTATGCATGCAAGGGGCACTATCCAATGACATTCCATGAAAGTCTAAATTATGGGCATGGTTTTGAACTCAATGGGAAAAGTACAGTGGTCCTCATTTGAGATTCAAAATTAAAAAATCAATTGATATTGTTTAAAAATACACATCTATTTCAAAAGTTATTGCTCTGTATTACAAAAAGTTACATCGAAGCCCTCAGTATGTGTTGAAATCTAGACATGCCAGACCGAACTGCACGCAGTGCGGAGTAGACGAAGACTACTCATCTTCGATCGCTACCAGCTTTAGTGAGGTCTCGGTTGGTGATGATCTCGGTGGTGTGAATGTTATTCCATCATATAATCAGATCACAATGTTTCTACCTAAGCGAGGTAGAACATAGATAGACAATTAGATGTAGATTAAAACATGAACACTTTTAGTTACTGAAATATAAGTTCAGTAAAACCAAAACCTCACTGATCCTAACCTTTTATCTCTGATCCTTAAATCCCCAATATCTTACGATTCGTACAGTATTGACTTGACAGTCAACGTTCACTTCTATCATTCCGGATACCCCCTAGAACTTTAATACTTATTTCAATACATTGATCGCGAGTTAAATGCTTGCGAACTTTAGTTTGTGAAGCAGACTTTTCGAGAGACATTGTTTGCTAGAATAGAGGATGAATTGATAGTGGTGTTAAGATTCAAGGACTGTGTAAGTTAGTCAGCCAAAAGCGTCGCTGAAAATGTGTTTTTCTAAGCGATTGTTAGAAGAAGCCGATTGGACCATACTTCATGGCGAGCGTGGTAAGGAGGAGAGACAGTCTAACCTATTGCGAGCTAGGCAAGCTGCGGCTACAGGGCTAATCCCTTAAATAACCCAGTTTGAAGTAATACCTTTTCCAACCTAGGGGCACTGTAATTAGTCATCATTTCTTTTATTTCGCGTACCAGGTGTCTTTTTTTTCATTTTATGGTCCTGTCTGAGTCTATGACTATGTAGGACATGAAGGTCCTCTCTGCCTACAGGCCAGGGATACATTTACCAGTAGTATATTCCCCCATGCCTCTCATACAGCTCCCCTCAAACAGTGCCACCCCTCACAAGTCCTCATTCGATCGTACACTATGAAGAGCCCTTTGCCCTTCATTATCTCCCCTCTCCAGCCAACGAAACGATGGCCGTTTGCGGGTGTATGGCAGCCGGGAAAATTCGCAAAAACCACTGGGTGCGGGGCTCTCCTAATACCGATATTAGGACTAGATCCGAAGACATATTGCCCCTTCTGAAGTGTTCGAAGAGGCCGGCCAGCTGGGCGCTGCAGACCTGTAGGTACCTCTGAGAATTCACCCTCTACCTTTCTAGCCTCCATCCAACCCCTTCCCGAAGGTCGTGCTGAAATGTCAGAAAGGTCTTGACAGAGCGTAATTGCTGTTTGGTAGCTTAGCCCAACTTTGTATATTATGACTTAATTTCCTCCTTGCGGGTATACACAGCGTCGTAAAAATATAGTGAGTGATGGCCGGTAATCAATGAGGCAAGCTCCTATTTACAATTGGGGTGACGCCTTTATCGGTCGGCGAGGCGAGATGATATGTGGTTAGATCGTGGTTGAGGACTTCGAAGATAATGGTGAGTGCTGCATTGTTGAGAAGTCATCAAATGGAGATATGCATGTGTTTGATTTTGACTTCGATTCGGATGCGATACTTTTTGACTATCCAAGATATGCAGAGCATACTGAGCCATTACACCGGCACCACTGGAAGGTGAAGAATTCGTCTTTGCCGGCTCTCCCTTTACGTTGAATCATCTATTTTGTACTTTTTTTTTTTGATATTGTGTCATAGTTAGATAGCTGCATACGCAGTAGAAATCTGATGCAAAAAAAAGACCGGCAATAAAGCCAGAAGCGACAAGAGAAATTAAAAAAATTACAGTAAATGTCTGAGTTACTGTGCCCTGCGAAGCATCTCTCTCATCTAACCCTATCTCTAGAGACAGAATCCATCTCAGCTTGGTCACCTCCCACCCTGTCTATTCTTCGGCAGACTGCAACATTTGCTTGTAGTTAGGAATTGGAAGAACTTCTGTCATCCCTTCTGACCAATCGTCTCCTTGGCTACAGGCGGGGCCAATTTCTCACAACTTCTCCAACGTTGCAAAGCAAGTCAGCGCTTTGAAAAATGCCAGAGCCTTTTCTCTCGGCCGCAAACGCACTTCAAATCTTCATGTTAAGGGTTGAAACGCCGGTGGTAGTCGGCGTAGTTCCCGTGGCCAGTTCTTGCCGCAATAAGGCGATGGTACGCCCATCTTGGTAAAGCTAGTTCTGGTGGTCTTTTGCAACGCATGAAGAGGTCTGGATCTTTGTATCGTTCCGGCCGAAACTTCTGCCACCACTCTTCCACGAGTTCTTGACCTTGCATTTTTACTAGTCTCCCCACTGCAGCAAAAGTTGGATCTTGATCTTCTCCACTGGGCACAGCTGAGGTTAGTGACCAGTTGTTGAGAGATCTCAAGGCCGAATTGGCCAGCTCATAGGCCTCTTTATTGCCTTTGATCCCCACATGCCCGGGTATCCAGCGTATTTCCACACGCTTGTTGTGTCTCAGCGACGAAAACTTGTTCACCACTGCCTGCGAGGAGTTAGATCTTCCCCTTTCGGGTGACTGGGTGGCCGCTTGATTGTCCAGAAGAATGCGAATCGATAGATCTTCTTCCACTATTAGTGCAGCCCCAAAGGCTGTACCTAGGATTCGATTTTGATTTGAGTAATTTAAAGTATCAGCCTAAGCCTTGCACCCAGGAGGTTGTGTGTCCAAGTTTAGGGCTTGACCCTCAGGATCAACTGGCATATAATTGTAATATTTAAATTAGAAATTTACCAATAAATTAAGGAGCTATTTAGGTAGGTCCTTTACTAGTCTTCCATAGTCTTGGACTCAGTAGAGACTTCAATTTAAATCAATCAAGATATGTCTTGTCACGGGACACTGCGTTGAGAAGATTAGTGGGAACATTCTTATCTAATCATATATTAGCGTGCTCAGGGCTGGATGGTGCAGTGGTACACCATCCGGGCCGTTCTCCCAAGTAGATACTGGGTAGCTTGAACACCTACCCCATTCGAGACAGGAGAAAGCTGGTTCAAATCCAGTCAGACCCACACACTACTCTCTCTCGCGGTGATGTTGTACTTGTGGGATGATGAAAGCACACTTGGCCAGCCACGGGGTTTTTCACGCTTTTCCCTGTGGTGGGTATGCACGGAAGAGGTTGAAACGCCGTGAGGGTTAACCTCGAGTGGTATCTGCAAATGAAATCTGAGTGTGAGTGTTCTAATCGTCAAACTGGGTTGTCCTACTTAAAGTACAAATATTCCGATAAAAACCTGCATGAGCCTTAAGGCGCCAAATCAGGATACTGAACTGTATATGTATATATATTAGCGTGCTCATAAGATTAGGAGTTTCTTGTAAGGCTCAGTATGTATTACGAACAACTTACATCTGTCTAAACGAACTCCACAAGCATTCTGTAATACTAATTACAGGCGTGCTGTGAGTCCCAAGTAAATGCAAAAAAAACTACCACCGAAGCTAGCTTTACATGGCCAGAGATTACATGAATGAAAAACAAAAAAATAAAGAAATTTTGCTGCCCTGGCTCGACGCCCTGCGCCTGACCAGATACACATACCTAGGACTTGCTAAGCTAATTCCAACAGTTTGCTAGGACTGAAGTGTCCGCGTCGGAGACCATCAGATTTAGCAGCGTTAAATAATAGCAGAAACCTTTTTCCGTTCATCTGTGGGGAACTTTTATTTTCCGTACTTGCGCTTAACTTTATCCAGCTTATTCCTAACCTTGCAACGAGTCAGGATGGTCGAGCATCTCTCTGTGCCCTCATCCTCGACCCGTACCTAAGCTCGCCCGTGACTGCTTGAAAGTTCGAGGCGGCTAGGAGATGGGCAGACTACCAATTATTCTTTGTGCGGCCAGAAAGAAAGGCCACTTCGTTGTCATCAGCTTACTTGCAAAGTGCCCGTCTCAGGCGTAGATACTTTCTAGCAAATACCGAGTCCTTCCTCAATACCTCGAATGTCATCCTACAATAACCCCATAGATTGCATATTTCGTTGAAATTCTAGACGAAGTGCAAGCGGGAACATCATTCAAGTAATTGATAATATCTCGGCTTAGATGCTTATGGAATAAAATGAATAGGATCCACATTTTTGATTAAATAGGCATACTTTTTTGGCTCCCTGGATCGAGTTGATTTAGCAATGACTACAATGCTATATTTATGATTGATATTTGCCAAGTCTCCATCTACTTGATGATTCCATGTCATGCTGGAGCCTGGAATCGCAACCAAAGCTTGCCCAGGCTCTTCGCGATAATTTGACGTGACTCGTACCATGGATGGAAGTCAAGATGCTCGATGGAATAGCCAGGCTATATAGAGTACAAACAATGTCTCCCGCCGACAGATCATAAATCATTCTATTGAGCATCAACAAGCCGACCGCTCCTCTTCCTCCACCACACCATCACAAGTCACTCGTTTGACAAATATCAGCCACACAATTAAAATGCGACTTAGCAATCTCTTAATCATATTGGCTGTTGCCATCGTAAAGCCAGCCTACGGAACCTTAGATATCAGTACAGGTGTGTATTGCATAGGCGTTGAATATACGTATGGTGAACTCGAGCATGCCAGAAGAGAAAATTGCGACTATGTAAAGCGGAAGCTATCCGGGTTGAGAGCACAAGCAAAGAAGGATAAAGAAAGACTCAAGAAAAATCTAGAGAGAGACAAAAAAACCTCTGAAAAAATTGATCGTGCCCTTCAATCGGGACAACTTCCTGCCGACGTCCCAAGTTTCTACTCGATGAGTACCTTCGAAATAACTCCTGATCAACAATCTATTCGACCGGTGATAGATACACGGACTAAAGAAACATCTGGCTCGACATATTTTGCTCATGGCCCCGGTTACACACCGCCCTTGCCTACTGTGGATATTCCAACAGAAGTGCCAATTACATTACCGCAGAAGGGTGAAGGAACTGGTACGTTATCACCGTAGATTAATATTACAAAAGTGAACCGCTGGGTGAACCTAGCTAATGATTACAAAGTACAACTTTCAATGAACGAAAAATGTAAGGTTGAGAATGTAATACAATTTCGCGATGGCGCAGAACCTTACATCTGCTTAACACCCGATCAGGTGAACAGAACGAGGGAAAGGATACAGGAAGGACGGCAAACTTTGGCAAGTATGAGATTCTCACGACGTTGATGTTGTGTCTACCAAGTGTCATCCGGATGTAGCAAGGTAGCAGAATAGGGTTTAATACGAAGTCTCCTGAGTAGCCCGAGTAGCTTAATATTTTTCAAACTTGTCCACTCACAAATTAAGGCTAGAGAGAATATGGAGGTCCTCTCAGCCCACAGACCAGGCCTACGTATCTAGTAATATATACACTCCTATGCCTCCCATAAAGCTCCCCTCAAACAGAATATATCTCACAAGTTCTCATTCGATCATATGCTGAGAGGTGCCTTTTGTCGTACACTACCTCTCCTCTAGCCAACGAAACGATGGCCATTTACGCGTGTATGGTAGCCGGTAAATTTAGCGAAAAGCACTAGGTATATGTATAATTCACTTTTACCTGATTTGGCACCTTGAGGCCCATGCAGGTTTTTATCGGAAGATATGTACTTAAAGTAGGACAACTCAATTTGACATTTAGAACACTCATACTCAGATTTCATTTGCAGATACCACTCGAGGTTAACCCTTACGGCGTTTCAACCTCTTCCGTGCATACCCACCACAGGGAAAAGCGTGAAAACCCTGTGGCTATCCAAGTGTGCTTTCATCATCCCACAAGTACAATACCACCGCGAGAGAGAATGGTGTGTGGGTCTGACTGGATTTGAACCAGCTTTCTCCTGTCTCGAACGGGGTAGGTGTTCAAGCTACCCAGTATCTACTTGGAAGAACGGCCCGGATGGCGTACCACTGCACCATCCAGCTATGGTGGTGTTTAAAGTGTCGCCGGCACTTTTCTCGCGGCACTGGTATAGGACTCTCCTAATATCGACATGTAGATTGTTTTTACTACACTAGTTAAATCTGTGACTATGCAGCACATTGTGCTCCTAATAGTTCAGATCACACCTCGCACAGTGCTCAATTCCTGTTTTGTAACTCGAAAGATTTTCTTTCTATTACCTATGATGGATAGCCATTAAACTTAGTGTTTACCTGTGAAATTTAGCCACATTTTCGACGGACCCTTCTACCCAAAAGAAGCCAAAATGTTAGCAATGGAATCTGCGTGCCCAGAGAAATTATCAAGAAAACCAACAGTCCCAGCCAGGCGATGCCTAGACACCGGAGCCACATGAGGTGCATATATCCATCCTTATCTCCGTTACTCGGAACAAAGAGCCATACTCGATTCACTCCACCATCACCGTACGAGTGAAGTATGCTCCGCTAAATCATTGGACGACTGCTCTCCTACAAGCGACTTAGCCCGAAGACATGGCTACCATTCTGAGTCGTTCAAAAGGGTAAGCCAGATGGGCGCTGCAGACTTGTGCGTACTCAAGAAAAAATCACTCTCTGCCTCTTTGACCTCCTTCTAAAGCTCTCTCTAGTACCGTGTTGAAATATTAGGAGATTCTTCACAGAGTGTGATTGCTGTACAGTAGCATAGTCCAACTTCTTTTGTGCCGTCTAGGGTACTGGGCAGTTCCGTAGGCACATCGACGATGGAAGTCATCCTCACTATTTCATGTCTACATCTTGGCTCTGCAGGCTCCACAATAAGGGGCGGAGATTCATAGTGCATACCGCTAATAAGCGCTGAGACTTCATGCTACCCAAGGGGCCTTGGTTAAATTGATTCCTAGATGTGCGATGGGGAGGACTGATTGACACCCGCAAAGGTTTCCTGGATGTCATGTCTGGCTACTAGAATGATGGAATTGAACTGGACATAGCGCCGTCTGAACATGATGTCTATCAAGAGCTCCTCGAGCCAAGGTTCGCACCTAATAGTAGCTAGTAGAGATTAGGAGGCTCACGGCGAAAGGCATTAATGTGCACACCCAGTCATAACCCCTTTACAGTAGCGTCATTTTTGATCCTGACTTTTGATGTCTCGAGGGTACGTACTTTCATTGGTGATGCTTCTCCCCTGCATACCTTTCGACTGGAAGAACATGAATCAAAATTCTCGCGTTCGACAGACCACCATTCCCCATTCTCTGATGCCTGAATGGCCCACGGCCAGAGGTTGAAGGTCCCTATCAGTTGCTGAAGCATGGCCAACGAGCAGTTAGGCCCCGGACTCGAACGGCCATCCAGTCATCCAGCAGCGGTGGCTCAGGTCGACACACATCAGGCCGCACGGCTTCTGCGATAAGCATCGTATCATTGTCCTGGGATCTTTTCCAACGCAATCTCGGGCTCGTCTCATGCAGTGCGGCCACAGACCCTACGATACCGACCAATCGATTCATCCTGCCCTTCGGCCAAGGAGATGCCACTTTAACTGATCCTGGCTACCCAGGCAGGTTGATGTAAAGAATTCGTCGTGATTGACTTTGTGTCTCCACTTCTGGCGGCCAAGAAGGGCACGCTTGCCGCCAGCCTAAACTGGGACTGCGCTGGAAAACTATCGGTCCGAGCACGTGCGAGCGTATCCGCTACTCATTGCATTTCGACTGACACCATGGGTATGGATCCCATTAAACCAGTGTATGAATTGATAGATGGTGGTAAGGCTCTTGATTGTCGAGCACTTTGGCTACGGTCAGGAGAAAGCTGCTCAGGCAGGTGAGCCATGCAGCAATCACCATGTTGGCTATTTGACTTTTCACTCAAGAGGTGCTAGTAATTATCTGTAGTCATCAGCTGTTCATGCCCCTGCCAAAATAAAGTTTGAGGGGCCTCGCCTACGGCTTATGTGGAGATATAGCTGTATCATGTAGCTAGAGCCCTAGCAGTATTTTGCGGCTTCTGCCGCCGGGAATTATAAATACCGCATCCCACAGCCGTTTTTGATTGTAGTGTAAGTTTGAAAGGCTCGATTCAGTGTGGTGCGCACTATTGTCTTCATCCAAATCAAGACGCCCGATCAGTTTACTTCTCGAGCCGAGCATGGAGCGGACGGCCTCAGTCGGCAGCGCGGATCATGCTACAGGCACTAGCTTCCGGTGCAAAGAGGACGATCGGGTAAATGACCGCACAGGGCTTATGCACCTTTTTCCGGCGATCCGATGCTCAAGCTCTTCGCCGAGCATCGTCTACATCCGCATCCGAAACCCGCATTAGAGCACCACAACGAGACCCAAGTTTATGTTCCATGTTAACCAGATCCTCATATGCGCGTGGCGTAAATTTTCAACGACATACGAGACAACCAGTACGAACGAGAAACTCGCCTCGTGATTGACTCAGGCTACAGCGAGTACGGTCGTAAAAATTAGTTGTCGCTGGTAGTGGCTTAATGGTATTTGCGGGCATGGAATTTGACCAGGAGAGCGGGCCACCCACGGCCCACTTGCAGCCATCCCTTCACGCCGGGAGACTACCTGAAGTTAGTCCTCTCGATACTAGTCCTGTCTTTCAGCGCCTTTGCGAGGCATGTCGCCGTGGAGATTTGCGCGAGTGTCACGAAGCCATCAGCTCCGGTGCCAATATTAACGGTCGCGATGCCTTCGACTACACTCCATTGGTTTGCGTAAGCCTCTCTTCCAGAAAACAATTCACCTTAAGCTGACTGTCCCGGCCCGACAGGCTAGTCTCTGCGGCCACTATGAAGTGGTCCAACTGCTGCTAGAATCAGGCGCTGTTTGCGAGCGCGCAACATTTGAGGGAGAACGGTGCTTGCACAATGCTTTGAACGACCGGATTCGAACCCTCCTCTTACAATACGACTATGCCAAGAGCAGTGACCAACTTCTGCCTTTTGCTTCTCATATAGCTACCTTGTTAAGCTGTCAATCATCTAAGCTTTCTGACATTCGCCTGCTCACCGACTCTGATGAATGGAAACTACACAAATTTATCCTTGCTACACGCTCTTCCTACTTTTCCCGCAAGCTAACCATAGCTCCAGCAACCTGCGAGTGGAAACCTATACGATCTTTACCATCTGAAGCCTTTCGCATTGTGCTGCGCTATATTTACTTGAGTGACATTCGTGCGGAACTTGGAGCTATAGATGTAGGAATCGACAGAGGTGAAGCTGTGTTGAAAGCCATCGAAAAAATTAGTAGGCAATTGGAAATTCCATCGCTGTGGGAAGGAATCTTGGCAAGTAATGACCGGCGTCTTGCCCGTCAGATATATCAAGAGCAAGTTGCGTTAGGGAGAGAGCAGTTTGAGACATGGTATAGGGGAAATGTGTTGGAGTATCAATTTAGTGTGCACCTTGGCATGACTGAGGATATCAAATGGACTAGAGATAATTGTGTATTTGCAGACGTCTTACTTCAAGCTGATGAGACTGAAATACAAACATATCAAAAGAGGCCACACCATAATGAGTATGCACCAGATGTCAATCATAGAAGTACCAACGGCCTTAATAACTTGAATCAATCGGCCCTATCAGGAGTTAAGAACCAGCCAAGATCTATCCTCTTTCCCACGCACCGCGCAATCCTTTCAAGGTCTGAATATTTCAGCGTGATGTTTGCCTCATCGTTTAGCGAGGCACGAGAGTCAGGAAAGCTTCCAGTCATCAAAGTCGACACATCCCCAGAGACTCTCAGACTCATACTAGACTACTTATATACCGAAAAAGTAGATATACCTATTGAAATAGCCTTAGATTTACTGTTTGCTGCTGATATGCTCTTTATCGAAGGCTTGAAGAACAAAGCAGCACTAGTCATCAGCACCGTGGGTATGGCCAAAAATTTAAATCCTAGCCGGATGAATAAGTCAACCATGAGCTCAGAAATTGAAGTGATCAATATTTACGATGTAATTCATGCTGCATGGTTGCTCAATGTTCAACGTCTCGAAGCCTTCTCCGCAAGGTACTTTGCGTATAATCTCGAAGATTACATAGATGAGCAAGAGTTTGAATCTCTGATTAAGGAAAGCGCTTTTCGTATTGAAAATCGCCAGGAGACAGATAGTATTGAGTTGCTTGACGAGTAAGTTAAATCAACCACTGACCTATCATATTTTTCACTGATAACAAAGTATTCGGTATTATCTTTCGGAAAGATTTCGTCTACGATTTGAAGAGCTGGGACTAGACGAGATTATGAATGAGAGTTGGACGGAAGCTGCTCTACCCAATGCAGGCGTAGAAGAGGGAGAAGCTAATTGTGAAAATCTCCCAGCAGAGCGAGATGATTCAGGTAATTCTACATCTATTGCACCACAGGACTCTTTGAGAGACGCCAAATTTAGAATGACATATGGAGATAAGGCCGACGATGGATTCAGTACCGATGCCACAAGTTATCAGGTTCTGATTGGAAAGATTGAGGCGCTTCTGGATCGATTAAAATTAGGTGCATAGTGAAGCCCAAGAGATAAGTTTCGCGCACCTTACGGTTATTTTTAGGAATAGGAGAATAAAACTAGTCGTCGAAGATAGCATAGAGCACTTCCACGCCTAGATAATGGGACAGCGAGCAATCAGTTCTTGGCAGGGAAAAATGCGATGAACCAAGCTCTGGCTGGGTTTGGATCACATATTTGCCCGAGCGCTCGCTTGAGTTCAATTTGCAAGATACGCATCACTTATCTTCTGGCAACAGGGTAGCCTCGAGAAGGCCAGAGATCTATCTGTTGCATTCAAACGGCTGAAAGCAGGATGGAAAAAAACCTTACGAATCACTTTGTGTAAGGTGGAACTCATTTGACTGTGTTCCGGTTCTAATTTGTGAAAAGCCGGGTAAAAAATTTCGGATGCCTTGCGCCAGACAGTCTCAGCTGATTATTCTGACCCTGCTTGACACCCTAGAAATGCTCTTAAAATCTTCCATGTCCTCGTGGTTCAACTAATTTTTTGAAGTCATTAGTGCGGCTTCTTGTGTTCAGCCTTGTACAGCCTTGATCACTAGCCTTTGTTTGTGAATACATACTTATCCGAACACTTATCCGACAACTTCCCACAATCATCGCTCAAGAATCCTTAGACTTACATTCAAATGGAGGGCTCATCATTTGTAGCGACCTCTCCTTCGGGAAAAAGCTTCATCGAATCTCACTGCTCATCTCCTTCCCCAACCGGTGGATCTGCAACGCTCCACGACGATGAAAGTATTTCGAATAGTCTTTTTATCGATGTGGGAAAAGCCCATCAAGGTTCTTATTCAAATTTTTCACATTCGGATATAAGAAATTCAACCCCCTCGCCATCAATTAAGCTTTCACCACAATCAATTTCTCCGAAAAGTCAGCAAGAAGATAATGTTTCTTCCATCCATACTCTAGCATCGTCACCATGCGCTGAAAAAATGTCGCACAATCTAATTTCACCGAATAAAACTCCCTCAGATGGAAAGCTTGGTACTTTTTCTGCAATAAACATAATACTATCAAGGACAATTGGTGTAGGAATCTACTCGGTGCCTTCTTCAGTCTTCAACTCTGCGGGCTCCGTTGGGGCTTCCATACTGTTATGGATTATCGGCGCTTTTATATCGTTTTGTGGCTTGGCTGTTTATCTTGATCTCGGAACTGGTATTCCATTATCTGGTGGGGAGCGAGTGTATCTTGATCGCATCTTCAGGAAACCTCATAAACTAACCTCTTGCATATTTATGGCATACACAGTGCTGCTGGGATTTAGCGCGCCGAATTGCATAGTATTTGGTGAGTATGCCATGTACTCTATTGGAGTTGAGCCAGGTCGCTGGAATGTTCGTTGTGTTGCTGTTGTCGTACCCACAATTATTTGTTTTATTCACGCCCGCTTCGCCAACCTCGGGTTTCGAATAATTAACAGTCTAAGCGTTATCACAATGGTAATTCTTATCTTTATTGTTATCTCTGGCATGGTTGGAGCTTGCCTACGAGTAGGTGCTGCTGACTCTCTATTGAGCCATCATCATCTAGACTTGCACGAGTCGCTAGGAGCCACGGATGCCGCCCTCTCTCACCTCTCTACTGCTCAGCAAAATTTCTCCAACATATTTGCGGGGTCTTCAATTCAGCCATATGATTATGCAACTGGATTAATCAAAGTTCTATTCTGTTACCGTGGTTATACTACGGCAAATCAGGTAATTTCTGATCTCCGAAATCCTGCTAAGACAATTCGTGTCGCTGCCCCAGTAGCACTGAGCCTCGTTAGCATCAGCTACCTTCTTGTCATGATTTCATTCTTCCTTGTGATCGGTAAAGAGGACTTCCGAACTTCGGGCATTGTCATCGTCGGACACTTTTTCCGCAACATGTTCGGCCAAACAATGGGCAAGAATATACTTCCGGTTTTTATTTTTATTAGTGCATTTGGAAATATTGCATCGGCTACCTACGTTCAGTCAAGAACGAATCAAGAATTGGGTCGCGAAGGGCTCTTGCCGTTTTCCGACTGGTCGGCTCGCAGAGGACTCTGGGAGACAATTACACCAGGTCTTTTTCTTCATTGGATCGTCAACGTCTTCGTCATTTTGGCCCCACCACCTGGGGAGATATATAATTTTCTCATCGATATTAGCGGCTATCCAGTTTCTTTGATTTCAGTCTCAATCTCACTCGGTCTGCTCTACCTACAACACCATCCTCAGGAACAATGGACCAGCATGTTTCATGCCAAAATGCCATACACCATTATCTTCGCCGCCAGCAACTGTCTACTACTCATAATGCCGTGGGTAAAGCCTAAAACAGATCGGACAGATAGCCAGTTCCCATATTTTGCTTATCCAACCACGGCTTTGGCTGTCATGGTGGGCGGATTTCTGTACTGGCTCTGGTGGGCTCGTATTGCTTCCCTTGTTATTCGGTCCATAAGATTACAAATCCGAACCTGGGGAAAATTGAGAGTAGCGCCGGAATTCTCGGCTAAACGGAGTGGAAAAATGGATACAGAAGGAGCGGGTTCGATTAAAGAGCAGTCATTATCCGCGTAACAACTTTTTTTAATAGTTATTTTCAAATTCAAAAGTAAGGCGCGCTCCGTTTGCCAGGGTATAAAATAATCTCCAAGGCCTATGAATCTGACGTGACAATCATACTGGGAGATGCTCCATGTAGTAGTTGGGTGACAGATTTCTTTGTCTCAAATGAGCTATTGGACCTCGCTCCCAACTTTCTCGCACACATGCAAGAAATCTACCTAAGGTCAAGACGTAGAGCGATGCGGGTTCGAAGTAACGTAGCGCATACACATTATTGACTGAGCTCGAAATGCTGTCGTAGCCCGGACTTCGGCTGTTAATTCCGTGAATCCCTAGCATTCACTGCACGCCCATGTCACACTACGACAGGTTTATCTCTAATTGATGGGCCTCATCTGCGAGTGAAGCGGGGCTAGTCGGCAACAAAAAAATATCCCAGCCAGTGCCATGGGTTATGCATTGCAGGACCCTATCATATGACCTTGACATCGGACTTAGTTGGCATTGGTGATCACATGATACACGCATCCTAATAGACTTGGGTCATGGAGAACAACGTCACAAGAATTTAGATAGATTGAAATCAGATATTTGTTCGGTCTCCCCCAAAATTTCCATTTCTGTCAGTGTCGATTCTGGTATTTAGCTGAAACTGTCTGCTTTATTTGCGTTTGAACTAGCGTTAGTTGAAATCGAGCTACTCTTGATGCTATCTGCTAGGAGTTCGTGTTAGCACACGTACTAGAGTCGGAAGACTTTTCCCAGAGCTTCCGTAGCAAAATAGTGATATTTTCGCTTTCGATAGTGGTGCTATTGCTAATACGCTTCTTGTCAGTGGGTATGACATTTGGGTCGTTCTTTCCTTCAACTTTATTGAAGTTATCGCTATAGTTTGAGACTATCTTTTGTTGCCGTGAGATTGATTTAGAAAGGTTAACCTTCTTTCCTTGCGTTGTCCCAAGTAGACTGTGGCCCATCGCGTGGGCACTACCTGAGCCCTCTGCATATCTTTTTATGTTTTGTTGTAAACGAGTGAGTGGCTCCATACCAGGAATACGAGCTACTCTTTTCAAGGCATTGCCAACAGGATCCTGATAGCGTTGTACAACTATGTACTCTACTCCAGTTCGTGCTAACTGATTCTTTATTCGAGGGTCTCTACTCCCATCCGTAGCGTCAACTAAACCGCTTGCCCGCCCTGGAAACGATGAGCTTTGGCTTGACTCAATGTGAGAACTTGCACGCTGCAGCCATAGTTTTTGTTGTGTCCGCGACTGTCCTGCACCAGATGGGCGTGCATGCGGAGTAATTGCTGAAGTCTCATTCCCTTCTAACTCGCCATTACTAAGATTTTTCATAGATTTTATATGTTTAACATTGTTGGATACTTCTAAAGGTTCACAGTGGTAACGGGTGAGGAATTTGGGGGTTTCAGTGGGAGAGCTAGACCCAGCTATGTAGCGTTTAGTTTGTCCCGTGATCGAGGAACCTATCTGGCAAGCATGTACTGAGCTGGAAGGAGGCGAGGATGGTAACGAGTGATCTTCAGCAATTGATGGATTAGCTGTCGCAAGTGACATTTGGGTTGTATGCCTAGACTGTGTGCGCGATAAAAGCCTGTCAGTCAACGCTTTTGTGTCAGCAGTAGAGGAACGTGATGTTTGTCTAACGCTAGGTGTGTTTTTAATCATCTCTCCTGGGGATTTTGGATGAGTTAGAGGGAGTGGTGCAGGCGTGGGTGATTGAGAGACTAAGTCGGTCCGCGAATGTGAATGAGATGCGACGGGCGAAGCCGATGAGCTCGTCTCTTCCCATCCATCCTCCTGTTCACCAATCTCAAAAGTTACGGCAAATTTTGGTTTGACTTCTGCTGACGAGCGATTTCGCTTCAGATTGACATGAGAGTTGTTCTTTTTGAGACTGGTAGTCGACACATTTCCAGAAGGCTTTCTAGGCCCCATCTCAGCATTTGTATCGGTATGCGTCTTGTGAATTCCCTTACTAGAAGGAATACGTGTATGTACTCGTCCTGCATGAACCATATGCTTCTTCACCTTGCTGTTTCCGTGTGGGTTGGAGCTCGACTGTAGTTCATTGTTAGCGGTGCGATCGACACTTAAAGAGTGTCGCTGTGAAGCAACAACAGTGCGATGTGCTTGCGTTAGCCCAAACTCAGATGGCATCTTTTGCAGCGTTGTTTGAGTGTGGATGACAAATGAGTTAAAGTGAGACAATAGATGTCATGCAAAAATGTGGGGGCATGGCTTCTTGTAGGAAGCTTGTAGAACCATGTTCGGTTAGGCTAGTCCCGCCCTCCCCATCACCTTACTTAAGATGATTGTGGTCTATTTATCAGGCATACAATGTCGTACCACACATCAAGGTGCGATTACGTCTCAAGTGACATCTTGGACTCTTTTCTCTTGGGCAAACTCATATGAAAACTCCTGGCAATTAGTTCAATAAACGACCATGTGGTTGGCACGAGCTTGACGGGTTACGAATCAAATAAACCTGTGAAACTCCACCAACCCAAGAATGTACCATGAATGTCACAATGAAGAATTATATCCGCACACTAAAACTACTATTCCATGATGATATTATATCTATTTTTTTACCTCACGTCAAGATCAGCTCTACAACTACAGCTTCGGCCCAGCTGACTTGACAAGTTCTGCTACCTCACCAGAGTACTTCTCAAAATTTTGAATGAATAGAGCGCCAAGTCTGGCAACCTCCTCGCCAAAACTATCACCTCCAGCAGTCCATGCATTCCTAGGGTTCAGAAGATTCGAAGGAACACCACTACATGATGTGGGAATCTCGAGATTGAATGTTTCGTAAGTTTCATACGAAGCTTTTGTCAGTTCTCCCGAGTGGATAGCGCTCAAAATTGCACGAGTATACTTGAGCGGGCAACGCTGGCCTCCAGAAGTTGCAGCCGCTCCAACCCAACCAGTGTTAAGTAGCCAAGCATTGGCTCTGTGATTCTCGATCTTTTCAGCCAGCATTTCTGCATAACGCATGGGATGTAATGCCAAAAAGGGCTGCGCGAAACATGCCGAAAATGTAGCTTGTGGCTCTGTGACTCCATCCTCGGTTCCAGTCATCTTGGAGGTGTAGCCTGATATGAAATGAAACATTACCTGGGCCGAGTTTAGCTTAGAAATAGGTGGGAGCACACCGCTTGCGTCGCAGGTCAGAAGGATAATATTTCTTGGGTGATCAATCGATACGCAGGGAATTTTGGCGTTAACTATATGTTCTATTGGATAAGCACAGCGTGTATTTTCCGTCAAAGTTGAATCTTCGTAATCCACAAAACGAGTTTCGGCACTAAACACGACATTTTCTAGAACGGCCCCAAATTTAATTGCACCAAATATTTCGGGCTCTTTCTGGACCGAAAGACCCAAGCACTTGGCATAACAACCACCTTCGATATTGAATATACCATTCTCACTCCAGCAATGTTCATCATCACCAATAAGAGCTCGTAGAGGATCGGCAGATAGAGTTGTTTTACCAGTTCCTGAAAGACCAAAGAAGAGAGTCACATCTCCATCTTTTCCTTCGTTTGCGGAAGAGTGCAGGGTGAGAACGTTGTGCTTTACGGGCATTTCATAAAATAGTATTGTAAAAATACCTTTCTTCATCTCACCGGCATACTCTGTACCTAGTATAACCATTTCCTTGTCCGCAAAATTGATAGCAACAGAAGTAGCAGAGGTCATCCCAGAAGTATAACGATTGGCTGGAAAAGATCCTGCGTTATAAATGGTATAGTTTGGCTGGAACTGTGCGAGATCCTCACGCTCTGGTCGGATGAGCATATTGCGCATAAACAGCGCGTGATATGCACGAGCACAGACGATTCGAACCTTTATTTGATATTTCTGGTCCCATCCTGCATAGCCATCGACGACATAAATCCGATTTCGAGTGTTTAAGTAGTCGATAGCTCGCTCGCGGTTAATTCTCCAAACCTGAAAAAAGAAATTTAGCTCAAGACCAAAGGAATACCAAGGGTGTAGGATGCGTCATCGTGCTAGGAGATTATTCTGACGTAAACTATGAAGTAAGAATTAAGCCTTCAATTTTTTCATTAAGGTAGGAAGATTGAGAAACTATTCATCTACCGCCCGGTAACCTTTAGTTATCAAATAAAACTTTGCAATGCACATACCTCTGGCGTCATGGGCTTGTTGACAGGCCTTAATTTTAGCGTCAACGGTATTCCTAATTAGAATAAAATAGAGCCTTACCCCCACCAAATATCATCCTCTGAACTAGGCTCCTTGACGATACGTTTGTCTTGTGGTGAACGACCTGTCTTTAAACCCGAATAGGCTGTCAAGGCACCTGTCGATGTAATGGCAGTTCCAGTCTCATATACAAGGGCATCTTCGTAGAGTACAGCAACGCTTGGATTAGGTACCTAGATAGAGCGACCGAACATCAGCCATATAAATTGCTCATTCGAGACGGACGACTACTTACAATTGCAACACGATCATAGTCAATGTGTGCATTGTCATGCAGCTCTTCTTCTAACCTGGTATGTTCTTTGATTGGACTGCTCTTATTGTCAGATTATAAGGGCGATAATATACGATTTAGATCACATACATCACGCCGCCTGACAGGATTAGTCTTCAATTTCAACGACTCGGTGTACTTTTAAGCCAACAAGAAAATAAATCCATGACATACCTGGGTGAAGGGCTGTTTTATTGACCCCAGAAGAAATAACCATCGTGACGATCTGTAGCGAACAAAAGATAAGACGAGAAGACTTTGAGAAAATCAAAAGATGGTAGGGAATTTAATGTAGCCCAAGAAAATTCATATAAATATGTGCCTCTCTCACTCACTCTTTCTCGTTTGGAACTAAGAAGAGAGCGCAAGCGCGTCGATTCGACCTAAGATCTAGATGTATACTGATAACGTACACTTTTTCTTTCTCGGACTAGATATTTGTCTATATCTAAATGAAGGAGTGTGAGAAGATAAATTGTAGAGGAAATGGTAGATTTAACACTATAATTTGCACAGGACAACTTCATAGTACGATGTGACGAATCAGAACGACCAAAGTACTTTCCTTTTCCGATGGGTTACCCAGCAGGAATTCCTCACAAAAAAGTAGACACAATATTGACATGGTGAGGTTCTTGGATATGACAAATGATTTAGAGAAGTAAAATGATTGTTCAACTATCGTGACTCTAACTCCACCCCATGTCAGCTATGACAATGTATGCATAGATTTAGCTCCCACATCTCCTCGTCACAACTCCAGTTCAGAAATGTATAATTGACCACAATTAGTTTTATTTGACTTACTTCACATGCCACCATGCCCCAAACTTGGTAGCGAGCTTAGTCTACAAATTCTACTGAACTTATGAGGGAAATAGTGACCGCTCAGTCATGGAGGTTGTAAAGCGTGTCAATTCAATTATTTTTTTATTTATTTATAATATTTAACGTCGTGCGTTGATTCAAGTAACTAACAAAGTGAAACAAAGTACAGCCTTTATGGTCACGTGCGTGTCAACAACGTGACCTACTTGATTGCTCCAATTATTCAAATTTCTAACGGAGTCCGCGCAAAGATTAAATGGCAAATATGCGACTTGAACACAGCTTGGTGGCAATCTCATACTCTCTCTACCTATTGTGAGCTAGGGATGCCATTTCCCAAGAAGCCCCCTGAGGAACTTCGACTCCCTCGCCGATATCCCAGGTATTTAATCCAATGCCACAATTAAATGTTTATATTCTCTATTAGGAAATTACTAGCGGGAAACTACGGCTTTTTACAACGGAGGACGAATGCTGAACACCTGTCAGTGGTGTCCTCTACGAACCTGGGAGTGAAATATTCTCCCAGAGTCGAGATTCAGTCACGACAAAGGGTGAATTTGATAGTTTTCGTCGAGTTGGCGATCTGGAGAAGTGGTGTTGGCTCATTTTTGGTCGAAAATCCGACTTGCAGAGATTTCACGACTGCACAACTCAACGAAATCAACCATCTACGCCCCAGATACGAACCGCAGACAGCCTATAACCTGTCTGATGTTCGTATTACAAAAACCGACACCTTCAATATCTTATTTTCTATTTCTCTGGAAAATTACTCCTAGCAAAACTTATCTCGCGGCCCTCTCCACAATCATCTCACCACCTACCTAAGCAATCCCATACCTCCAAAAGCCAAATTGCCAACTAAGGAGCAAGAAGATTTCCGACCCTCCGCAACTGCCAGCCGCTGTGAAGCAACGGTCGAGATACCGGCCTTAAATGCGTCCTCACCTCGGCCAAGGGCACCAAAAACTCGGCCTACGACGAATCGCCACCGACGAAATACGTACGACATGTCGCCGGCACATCAACCAGAGCGTTCGACAAAGGCTGGGGCACTGGTGTCTCGGTCTTGAGCTCTCAGTCGCGTTTTCGACCTCCACGGCTAGGGGTACAGCAGCGACGGGGCAAGGCCGGAGGGGTGGACATTCTACAAAGTTTCTGGGATGACGAGATCGGCTGAAGGACAGAGGGATGCTGTATGAAGGAACTAAAAGGGAACACAAACTGAGGAGGCTTTGGTGGGCGACTGGATGAGGCCTCCAGTGAAGAAAACGACCCCTGGATGAGATGAGGAGATTCTGAGACGAGCCAAAGCTGCGAATGAATCGAAGGGAAAAGTTACAGACGGCGAAGATGTCAAGGGCTTGGGCGCGTGGTGGCCGAGGCTGAGGAGGAATTTGCGCTCCGGTGCGCCAAAAGGGGGTTCTCTGAACGGTTGGGCTTGACATGATTTAACACATGGGTGAAGTCTGAGGTGGTCCGGTCATTCGGGTAGGACGAGGTAGATGTACATAATGGTAGTTAACCTGATCCAACCCGGCCCCACACGTGCTTAAGCTCCAGCAGGAGTGCAACGGGAATCACTTTACCTAGCACGTAAATGAACAAGACAAGACAAGACAAGACGGCTCTTTACAACTACATAACCTGTTCCAGATATCCTTGCCATTTACACGTGATCTGATAATACTCCCGTATAGTGAGACGATTTACAAACACGCTTGCGCCTTTAACTGTCTCAACGAAGGATACACGTCTTCACACATCCATTAGATTATCTATCCCATACACGCACACCATTATACTTGTCCTGGTTTCTCATGACCCGTCAAATCGAGCAGCACTATGGCTGCGCACAATCAGCCGTCGTCCTCGGCGTCAATCGACCCAGGCGACCAACTACACCCGAGCCTTCTTGGGATTACTGCTGCGATAGAGCAATCAGAGCGCGAACGAAAGCAGAGAATGAGCCTAGCTCAGGATTTTCTACAAAATATCGACGCCTGGGCGAAATCCAAGGCAGGAACTGAAGGCGCGGTTCTAGTCGCGCCTTTCATCGAAAAAATATCACCTACAGTGACAGCGTTTGCAATAGGAAAAACCGATGCTACAGTCCCCAAAGGCAAGACCCCACACCCCGAAGTCACGGAGATAACAACCTCTGCGCCTAGGGCGACAAAAACAAGCGATAATTCGCACCACCAACTGCCCCAAAAGCCACAGGAGACTGCAAACCCGTGGGTTACAGTAGCTCGGAAAGCGGCTAAGCTCCCAGATCCATCCGCGTTCCCCATCCCTCGAAGGCCCAATACAGATGTAAAGCCTAATGCACAAAACCCCCCAAAAGAAGACAAATGTCTCTTTGTCGGATTGGGGCAAGAAAATGGCTGGCGCAGATTGTATCCAGTCACAATAAAGAAGATGATCACTGAGAAAGCGGGAGTTATAGCATCTGAAATAACGGCTATGCATCAGGTTCGATCAGGCCTAGCACTGGAGTGCGCATCAGACGGGCTTCGAGAAACAATACTGGGAGTTGCAGGATTATTTCAGCAGGAAACATCTGCATCGAAGTAGCGTCTGATTGGACGTCAATGATAGTGCCACACGTACCACTATATATCAGAACACTCGAAGGCAGTATTTCGGTAACTAGCGAAATGGTTACAACGGAATGGCAAGCTAGATGTGGGGTCACACCAGTGCAGGTGCGACCGAACCCAGCTAGGCTCGGACAATATTCCACGAGCTGGATTAATCACTTCAAAGAGAACCCGGCAAACTGTAAGTTCAGGCTCTTTGACGAAAGCGGACCTGCAATTCCGTTCGTTCGCCAACGCCTTATGGAACAGTGTCAGAGATGCTGAGGATTTCACAACATACGCCCTTGCACTAAAGGATAAAGGTGCGGAAGATGCAACGGAGTACACGAGACAAATGAATGTCAATTCAAGGTACCTAAATGTGCAAATTGCGCAGGTCCTCACGAATCGATCAACCTGAAATATTTGGCGCGACCTAGGCGCCTGAACGGAACATTCCACCCCCGCACACCAGCGGAATTAGGAGTTATTCGAGAACATGGACATCGTGACTTTCAGGCTGCACTAGCAGAGGCGGAGAAAAAGGGTAAGGCCCCAGAGGTCGTGTTCACCCCGGAAGACACAATACAAAATTAATGAGTCGTACAAACATACATCATAACCACACCAAACAACAACACGCCCTTCTATTTCACCAAGTGAATGTTAGAAAGAGCGGAGAGAATATGGATATCGCACTTCAGCAGGCATGGGATACCGGAGCTCACATTGTCATGGTACAGGAACCATGGACAATGCAGACAAATGGAGGACTTATCACAAAAAGTCACCCGGGCTTCAACAGTTACAAGCCGACGAGAGCAGTTGGTACCCGCCCGCGGGCAATCAGCTTCGCCCGTAAAGTTTTATCGGCAACGCAAATATTCCCTTCATCCCAGGATCAAACCTGCGATTACTGCTTTGTGAAAGCCTGCTGGGTGACGTTTGTTAATGTATATCTTGCACCGGGACTTAATGATATCCTCGATCCTTTGCTTAGATGGCGCCCCTCAAGTCCTGCAATCGTATGGGGGGACTTCAACGCCGTCTCAAGGCACTGACAACCACAGGTACTCGTCAGTACGTTAACGATGTCCAAATAATGGAATGGGCTACAGCTCAGGATATGCATTTACTTACCACTATCGGCGTACCTACACACAGGGATGGAAATGTGTTGGATCTTGTATGGAGCAACGTCACAGCAGAGGTATTGGTATCACACGAGTATAACTGCACATCAGAC